TGTAGGGCGAAGGCTCGCAGTTTCCTGTACCAGTTGCAGCTTCCAGTTTCCACTGTTACAGTTCTGCTTCTTGTTGCTTACTGTTCCTTGTTGATGGACCGCGCGAGGAAGGGAGGCTCCAAATGGACATGTTTACCACGCCCTGAGCGTGTGCTCTGAATTGCTGGCGTGGGTAAAAATGTACACCCCTCACGCAGATCGGCGGGGTCAGGGTCTAAAAACACATGTGATTTGCCACATTTCTGAAATCCGGTGGCACCCCTCACGCAGATCGGCGGGGTCAGGGTCCAAAAACATATGGGATTTGCAACATGTCTTAAATTTGCTGGCGCCCCTCATGCAGATCGGCGGGGTCAGGGTCCAAAAACACATGGCATTTGCCACGTTTCTGACATCTGGTGGCGCCCCTCACGCAGATCGGCGGGGTCAGGGTGGAAAAGCACATGGGATTTGCAACATTTCGGAATTTCGCTGGCACCCCTCACGCAGATCGGCGGGGTGAGGGTCCAAAACACAGAAGGCATTTGCCACATTTCTGACATTCGGTGGCGCCCCTCACGCAGATCGGCGGGGTCAGGGTGCAAAAACACACGGGATTTTCCACATTTCTAAAATTCGGCGGCACCCCTCATGCAGATCGGCGGGGTCAGGGTCCAAACCACACAAGGCATTTGCCACATTTCTGAATTTCGGCGGCACCCCTCACGCAGTTCCGTAGGGTCAGGGCCCCCAAAAACGCAAGGGATTTGCCACATTTCTGAAATTCGGTGGCACCCCTCACGCAGATCCGTGCGGTCAGGGTCGAAAAACAAGCAGGTCCAGACACTGCTTCTCGGCAGCGCCCAGACCTCATGATTTAGCTGTTGCATCTCCCATTGTCCGAGACAGGGGGCCAGCGGCATGGGGCGAAGCCCTCACGGATAAATCTATGAACGTAAAAACTTTCGGAGGTCCGCGCGGATTCCATGAATCCGCGTTGGGGAGCGCGCCAGGGGCGGGGCTGACGGCGCCGCCAGGGGGGTGGTCCTAGCACCGACCCAAGGTATCTGCGCAGAACCCTAGAATTTGTTGTGTAGACTAAGTTTTCCTGATCTCAGTCGATGATCCCCCCAGAGGCCCAGCAGCCTCGTCCGCGATCACGAGGCAGTTGACGGAGGGCAGTTGGAAGCGACCATGGGGTCGGCGCTGGATGGGACCCGAGAAATCCGTCAAAAACAGAGGGGCGAACGCAAATGCGCTCAGAATCGGTCCCCGGACGCCTCCCAGGTCCAAACTGGCGAGTTGTTCGAGTCGTGCCCAGCTGGGGGCCGTTTTCTCCTCTTCTTTCCGCTGGCCAGAACCAATGCTGGGCCTTGGAGGTCGCGGGGGGGGGGGGGGCAGCGATGTTTCCAAGGCCAGATCCCAATACGCTCGGAAGGCGCGCTGATCCGTCAATCACAATCCGTACGAGCCCCATGCGCGAGACGCTCTGATCTTAGGCTCGCTCTTACCGACGATGGGGATGCACATGTTTACTCTTACCCTACGACCTACGAGCATTACCCACTCCTCCGTCGCTCCAGAAACTCAAGTCGCGTTCGCTGCCACCCAGCGACCTTCAAGCTGGGCACCCTCAGCCCCCCAGCGGGCTCCAAGCCTCGTCCGCGATCACGAGGCCGTTGACGGAAGGCATGTCCTGGGGAAACCAAGCGGTACCGATGCTGCTACTCCCCGGACCTCTCTCCTGGGGTGCGTTCTGGCCAGAATTTCGAGGCGAGTCCTGCGGTGGCGACGAGGGCCTCCAAGGAGGCCCGAAAAGGCAAAACGAGGGAACGGCAACGGTATCGGTACCGTTCCTCGTTTGATGTCTCGGGGGGAACGAAAGGGTAGGATAGAAAAGGGTAGGGTAGAGAATCAGCTCACGTAGCTGCTTTTCCTGGCGCCTCCTGGCGCCGGGAGGCGCCCACGTAGCGAGGAATGGGCCTGGCGGCGGGAAGAAAAAAGGTGCAGGCAGCAAAGTTCGTACCCCTCCCTCCCCTATCCTACCCGAATTCGGGGGCGGCCAAGAGGGGGGCGTCCAAGAAGGGGGAGGGGCGCAAATCGTGGCCAGCGGCATGTGCGCGGCCGAAGGGGGGGCCAGGGACGAATGAAATAAGAAGAGGCGCCATTAAATCGGGGAAAAGCTTTGGCCCACGCCATGATACCCCCCCCAAACCCCCGGCCATCACCCCCCTCTTTGCCACCCCGACTTCCCCTATCCTACCCGTTCGTCCTGCCCGGGTGTCCTCCCCACCGCCGAAGATGTAGCCCTTGATGCCTGGGCCGAGCACCTGCCCGAGCGCTGCAGCGAGGCCGCCGCCGCCCCTCCGGGTCACACCTCTTCCGCCGGCAGCCGTCGCCGAGGCTCCCCTATCGGCGATGGGGGCTCGGGCAGCCGGCACCGACGGAGGGCAGCGCCAGTGGGGCAGAGGGCGAAGCCAGGACGAGGATGTACAGTGGAGGCCAGTCCACAAGAAACCTT